GAATCACCGCGTCCCATTGTGCGCACGCTGGATAAGCAAATTGAAAACTTGCTACAACTGTCCAATGCAGCAGTATGATGTTTGAAAGGATACTTGGAGAATGTGCCTATCTGGATAACGAGCATATTACTTTGTGTTCATGTCTGTATGTCTGTTATATATGCGCGCGCTGGACCAAGTGGCGAGATGTATCAGATTCGACTTCATGAAGCATGAAGCAAAATACGTGTCAAGGTTGTCAATATGGTTCTAAAATCTGTGTTATCGCAACATGTACACTAGATTGACATCCTGGGTTTCTGGCTTTGCCCAGTAGCCATCAAACGACACGTGCGTATCAAAACATACATGGTGAAACTGACATCCTGGGTTTTTCCGGCTTTGCCCAGTGGCCATCAGACGAAGTTTCCCTGTAATACATGTTTTGTCTTAGAACTCAACGTCAGGTGTTATCTGAAACTCTCAAAGTCTCATTTACTTAACAAAACAATCAAATAACCACATCATAGCAACAAAGAGGCATTTGAGGTCTTTTTCAGCTCCGTTTCTTGTCACGAAAAGGGAAATTACATTGTGCAAACCCTGTTGGTTTTAAGCACCTCGATGTGTACCGAACTCATTTAAATCCAGCTTTTTCTTTGTCAATGTAGGAAATTCCTAAGACTTTGGACAGATGTGTGCGAGCAAGCCATCGTTTTTCGCGGGTTTGGTGAACTGTATCAAACCAGTGCGCACATGCTGTCTCAGCGAGGACTCCACCTCCATGTAGTGTGTAGTGACAATTTTGTCTCAATCCAGCAATCCCAATCACCTGAACTTCTTTGTTATTCGATTGTCGTGCAGTTTTTAACAGGACTTGGCGACGAAGGTTTTTCCAATTTTGTTCTGTTACCTTGGTGTCAATAATCCGACAGAAAAACCCTGGACTTGGGTACCATTGTTCGTTTTGTTCATCAATATTGCATGATGGTAAGATCACCTGGTTCTGGATGATGGGAATCGCTGCTTCCATACTGGTACCATGTCCAAAAGGATAAAAGCATCGAAATGGAATGGGTTGGCATGAGTGTCCATCAATCATTGGTGATGGAAAGCCAAAAGGAAAGAAAAAGGCCAGCCCAATGTTGCCACACTGTGTGTCATGAATCAGCTCGCATTCCGTGAACATTGTAGTCCAGTTGGGGATGTACTTCAAATTGTCCATGAAAACCTGCGCAGTCGCCCTGTGAACCAATGTAGATTCAATGTGATGTAAACGAAGGAACTCATCAAACATGGCCCATTCCCATCTAGGTTGTGGCAGACTCGGCCGGGGAAACTCATGAAATGCTTTGATTCGGATTTCCTGAAGCATCAGACCTTTCAGTTCCTGCAATATTTCAGATACGTCAAGCCACTTGGCGTGATTGACCAGTGCCGCGTCAATCGCCGGGGAATCTATACAATATGTAACCGCTGTAGACCAAAGTTCCAAGTGTTTGCGCGTCTTGATCTCAATCATGTCCAACTGTAATGGGTACACCCGTATGAAGCAGTAAGAGAGTTTGGCAAGATTTACTTGGTTGAGCATAGTTTCAAACTTCCATGGAACCTGTCCTGTTGTAAACTTCCAATGTACAGGGATCGCAACATCATACTTAGTGTCTTCGCGATCACTCAGAGTGGGGGTTGAATCATTCAATGCCGGGCATGACGCTGCCTGTTGTTGTAAAAACTGAATGGCTGGTCGTGGTGGTGGAGGAGGAGGCACATATTGTCGAAATAAATTGACTACATTTGGGTCCGTCAGGATGGACGTGTCATGAATTTCAACTCGACAACCATGTGCAGACATGTCCAATACCAATTTAGGTCGCGATGGGGCAGATTTGGCACCTAGTCCTCTTGCATTGGGTGATCGGGATCTATGACGCCGACGATCTCGAGAAGGGGAAAGTGCATGGCGCGGCATATGGAGAGCGCGTGTATTCAAAGTGGTTCAATATTTGGGGCACTGGACACCTTCAGAGTGATTAAACCAATTCTTAACAAGAAAAACCTTTCTAGTCAACAACCATTGGTAAAAACAAATCAACACCTGAAGCCAACCTTTTAGAGCCAAATTTTCATCGTGAGTTAACATCCTGGGTTTTTTCGGCTTTGCCCAGTCGCCATCATACGAAAATGACATGTCAAAACATGTCAAAACATCAGCTTGACATCCTGGGTTTTCGGCTTTGCCCAGTCGCCATCAGATGAGGTTTACGCATTAAACCATTTAAAGTAGACTGACATCCTGGGTTTTTTCGGCTTTGCCCAGTAGCCATCGGACGAAGTTTACGCGTCAAACGTGTAAAAGTTATAGATTGACATCCTGGGTTTTTTCGGCTTTGCCCAGTCGCCATTATACGAAGTTTTCGTTTCAAAACGTGTATATACAAATTAGTCTGACATCCTGGGTTTTCGGCTTTGCCCAGTTGCCATCACAGGAGATATATGCACTAAACGATGTAAACCTAGACATCCTGGGTTTTTTCGGCTTTGCCCAGTAGCCATCAGACGAAATTTACGCGTCAAACGTGTAAAAGTTATAAATTGACATCCTGGGTTTTTCGGCTTTGCCCAGTCGCCATTATACGAAGTTTTTCGTTTCAAAACGTGTGCAAATAGTCTGATATCCTGGGTTTTCGGCTTTGCCCAGTTGCCATCAGAGGTGATTTACGCACAAAAAAACCTGCACCTATAAACTGACATCCTGGGTTTTTCGGCTTTGCCCAGTGGCCATCAGATCAAAATTACGCGTCAAACATGTAAAAGTGGTAGACTGACATCCTGGGTTTATCGGCTTTGCCCAGTCGCCATTATACGAAGTGTGCGTTTCAAAACATGTAAAACTAGACAGACATCCTGGGTTTTCGGCTTTGCCCAGTCGCCATTTTACGAGGTTTTCGTTTCAAAACGTGTACAAATTAGTCTGACATCCTGGGTTTTCGGCTTTGCCCAGTCGCCATCACAGGAGATATACGCACTAAACGATGTAAACCTAGACTGACATCCTGGGTTTTTTCGGCTTTGCCCAGTAGCCATCAGACGAAATTTACGCGTCAAACGTGTAAAAGTTATAGATTGACATCCTGGGTTTTTCGGCTTTGCCCAGTCGCCATTATACGAAGTTTTTCGTTTCAAAACGTGTACAAATAGTCTGATATCCTGGGTTTTCGGCTTTGCCCAGTTGCCATCAGAGGTGATTTACGCACTAAATCATGTACCTATAAACTGACATCCTGGGTTTTTCGGCTTTGCCCAGTGGCCATCAGATGAAAAATACGCGTCAAACATGTAAAAGTGATAGACTGACATCCTGGGTTTATCGGCTTTGCCCAGTCGCCATTATACGAAGTGTTCGTTTCAAAACATGTAAAACTAGACTGACATCTTGGGTTTTCGGCTGTGCCCAGTCGCCATTATACGAAGTTTTCGTTTCAAAACGTGTACAAATTAGTCTGACATCCTGGGTTGTCGGCTTTGCCCAGTCGCCATCACAGGAGATTTGCGCACTAAACCATGCACGTATAAACTGACATCCTGGGTTTTTCGGCTTTGCCCAGTGGCCATTAGATGACAATTACGCGTCAAACATGTAAAAGTGATAGACTGACATCCTGGGTTTATCGGCTTTGCCCAGTCGCCATTATACGAAGTTTTTCGTTTCAAAACATGTATAAACCTAAGCTGACATCCTGGGTTTTCGGCTTTGCCCAGTCGCCATCAAAGGAGATTTGCGCATTAAACCATTTAAAGTAGACTGACATCCTGGGTTTTTTCGGCTTTGCCCAGTGGCCATCAGACGAAATTTACGCTTCAAACGTGTAAAGTTATAGATTGACATCCTGGGTTTATTGGCTTTGCCCAGTCGCCATTATACGAAGTTTTCGTTTCAAAACGTGTGCAAAAAGTCTGATATCCTGGGTTTTCGGCTTTGCCCAGTCGCCACCAGATGAGATTTACGCGTTTAAACACCCCACAAAAGGACAACACCTAAAACTTTCAAATTATGGGGAAAAACAAAACTTGGCATAAAGCAAACATAGTCACGATCTTGGTTTTGATGCATTTTAGCTGCATGTGTTCTCTGAACTATTCTCCTTGTCTCTGACTGCTTGTGGCTTTGCCTGAAGTTGGACGTCCCTTCTAGGGTGCTTATGGTCTAAGCCTGCACGAGCTCTTGTTTGCATGCCTCTCAGCTGCCTTGGCATTTCGAGCCTGAACTGGGTCTCTGACCTGTCTTGTTTGCACACTACCCCTGCAACACAGAGGTATGGAGCCCCCCCGGACTATATAAGCCGGGGCGACATTAACACACTGGACTGGTTTTAAGAATTGGAGCTGGTTCCAAATTGGTCGCGTCGAATCGTGCGGATAGTTCGTTCTGCAGGGTTTTAACTTAAAAGATTTGGCAATTCCTACCTGGTAGACCCTGTCAAGGCTGTATCCAAGAACGCAAGGTTGAAGAGGTCGAAAAGGTCGAAGCGGTCGTGAAACCAGATTTCAAATTGCAGTGCAACAGCAAAAAATCGCTTGCTGAAAATGGATAACGGAATAGAAAACAAACAGCGCATGAACAGAACCGAAGTCAACAGTTTTAACCAGTTTTAACCAAGCAGGTACACAACTGAGCGTCCTCAGTTGCTTCCCCTTCAGTGACACAGCTTCGTTGGGCAAGGTAGTCACTGAAGGCCTTGCCCCCCTGCATGTGTAGTTAACCATTCCCTGTGCTAGAAGGGTTTACACACACACACATATATATATATATACACATAATAACATGAAATAACTAGTAAACCATCACTGTCCATTTGCTAGCCATCCTAGCTCTTCAATTTCCATAAACGTCTCTAATCAGTGAACCACGTTCAATTCAGAAGAATAAACAGTGTCAAAGACAGGCACGGGCTGCTTCCTATAAGGCAGTCAACAATGGGAAAAAAAACAACAGACAAGTACCAGCAAAAAAATGTCTCCTCATATGACATCCAGAATGAACCTTCATCACGTCGAACAACTCCAATGCGCTTGGAGAGCTCTGGGTTCTCTGCCCACTTGCCCGAAGCAAGGCCTTTGTTGAAGATGTTGTAGTCTGCCCAGTCACCTTTCCATTCTCCGCTTCCCCAAGGATTGGCCAACTGGACCAATCTCAATGGCTGTCCGTTGTCCATCTTCTCCGAAGTCACCTACGCTGTGGAATATGGCAGTGGTGCCAGCATCATCCAAAGCTCCAAACATGTCAAAATAGGTGAAAATAAGTTTGAATCCGCCGGGTTTGCTCGGGCATTTGATGGAAAGTTGTGTCATGTTATGTCTAGGTTCAGCTCAACTTGTAGATTTTCCATTTCTGAAGCCCCTTCCCCATCCCCAACCAGGAGAATAGCGTAGCAAATCTAGCAAGACGACAGAATACAAGCCAACACAAGCAAACGTCATCAGTTCAAAAGGATGATGTGACATTCTGAAAACATACATGATACGCAGTAGATACAGATATGTTGAGCGCCTTACTGGTTTACATGCAAGCTTCCTAGAAACTGACTGTAGCACATCAATGCGACACATCTCTCCCTCTAGATCGAGGAACTACAAACATGATAATGCGTCAATATATCCATGCTAATGCAGTTTTAAGCAATTTTGCAGTTTCATCCACAGAGAGGAAATGCTGTTGCCAAGAACCAAGAGTCTATAATAAAGTAGTGGAGTAGTTGAGACACATCTTTCCATATTTCCCCCGTACAATTGCCACAGTGAGCTGCAAAAAAGGTACACACGCAAGTCATGTTTGCTTCACAAGTTCCGCATCGAACTGCAATAGATGTGCACGCGCAAGTCATGTCACTTCCACCCAGGGACAACCTTGGACAAAACGTCGTGTATGGCAAGAGAAGTTTACGCCCATTCTCTTGCCCTACTCCTCTCTTCCATCTTCCCAGCCGACATATTCCCACTATTTGCAATCACCCCCTCGGAACCTCCCAACAATCCTCTTTCCCAATGATTGACTTATTGACTCTTCGTAACTCTCTTGGTGAATGTTGGTTGAAAAACTTAACAACAGTGAACACTCTCCATTCAGCACGGAACCCGACAGACATGATGATGCCATTTTGAGGTTTCATCCGCAGAGTTTTTACTAGTTTAACATCTTTCCATATTTCTCCCATACAAGTGCCGCAGTATGCCGCAGTAAACTGCAAAAGGCTCTGCACGAACACACTTCCCAGGGACAACCCTGGGCAAAGCACCTTCTGTCTGCCCCCTACAAATCATCTGCCTATTCTTTTCCCTTCTCCCACCTTCCCAATCGACATACGATCTCCCCAATCGACATATTGCCCACCACCTTTTAATCCAAACCCCCGAATCATTCCCCTGAAACCCTCCCATCAAACTGAAACCAAATTTCGGCAGTTCCCAAAGAGGATTCCCCGGGTATATATATGATTATATATGTGCATGTATAAACGCAGCATGCACATGTAGAAATCCATAGAAATCCCATATTCAATGGCATGTTCCCCGGCTCCCCAGATGCCCATGCGAACTGCAAAGTGCTAGCGGGGCCTGGAGCAAGGCGTAGGCGTGGTGTACCACGAGCCCATTCTTCAACCGCGCCTCCACCCCCAAGTCTTTGCGATCAATGGAACAAGCCAAAACCTGGCGCTTCAGAAGTGACTCAGACAAGCATTTCGCTGGGCCAGGGTGGCCAGGTAGATATTCATGGGGGTATCGAGCTAACAGGCAGGTGGCCCTTGTCTGCAGTCAAAGGCACAAGTTACATCCGGAAAGTCAGATGTAGCACTCTACCGCCAATAAATGAGAAAGAAGGTATGCTTCAGCGAGGAAGCCCCGGAAACAAACAAAAGGAGAGAAACTCAAACGAGAAGCATGTTTGTCTTCGATGTGAGTCTTGAGAAACTTGAACAAGTCTTCCGTATTATATCTGCTTCCCCAGCCACAATACACCATTCGCATGCTTCGAGGGTTCCTTGCATCTTCTTTGCTGTCAGGTTTTTTGACTGCGCATTTGCGCCAGTGCTTGCCCTCGTTCAAGAAAAAGATGAGATCGGACTTTCCTGTGAGGACCTGGAATGCCCAGCCAGGGTAGCCAGAATTTAGAGCCCCATAGCTACCGCAGAACTTGGCCAAGGCCTTTTCCAGCAGCATGACCCAGAGTTCGTTGCCCAAGGGCCGTGCAAAGGTGGGACGAGGTCTTCCATCTGTCACGGTGCAGGGCAAGAACTCATCCACTTCAACCTGGCACCACTTTTTTTCAAAGAGGTCGTACAGCCATACCTTGTACCTTGGAATCTATTGGCATCCATTGGCATCCGTCATTTCCAAGTCTTTAAAGGTATATATATATGTGTGTCACACACACATGATATATATATATATATATATTTATATATATATCATAAAACATGCCTCATGCAGAGCTCTGACAAGAAAAAGAACCCGATGTCCGACACCTCTGTACCTGATCAGTTTCGAACCACTCACTTGATAAACTCTTCTTGCGCTAGAGTTGGTCAAGTATCTGATATCTATCGTCACTATCGTCCATAGGTTCGTTGATATCCCAAGATATCTAGAGATTCGAGAGATCTCTAGACATGAACGGCCGTGAAGTATGAGGTCATTGAGAGGTCAAGGTACTTGCCATCATGCGACAGGTGCCTGCCATCAAAGAGGCTCTTCAACTTGTTTGGATGTGCAGCCAATGAGCCCAAGGCACACATCAGCCAGCAATCTCCAACCTCAAACAGCCCACGACTCATGAAAGTGTTCAGCATCTTTCATGGAACACTTTGCTAACACCAATTTGCAAGAATCATCAATCCATAAACTATCAGCCTTTGGCAAGGATGACCTTGAACAAGTGGCATATAGCAGCTATTGCCAACCATCAGTAATTCCTAGAATGGCCATCAATAATCATCAAGACAGCTATTTGATGACAATTCATCTTCCTAGCGATAGTGGAATCAGTAGAAACATCATTGAATCATAGCACCCACACTCTGCTTCTTACCAAGTGGCACTTCCTTGCTGCACTTCATACGGTCGCACGCGGTCAAACAGCACAGCTGAGCCCGGATCACCCAGCATCCTGGCGCGCATCCAAAACTCCGTGTTGCCCAGGTTCAGGGTGCGGTTGGGATCAACGATGCTGGAGTTGTCATGCAGGAAGCTTGCATCTTTGAAAGCCTCGAGTGCCATGTGCTGAGTTTTCTATCGTCTTCTTACAAGCCGAAACTCGGCGAATGCAAACGATTTGCAAAAATCTCTGGGACTAGTCTCACTGGCCTGACTACTGTGTTCTGACTATAGATATTATAATCCGACCAATGACTCTGGAGCAATGATACCTGCTTCAGCAACTCCTGGGCAATCGACGGCTGAACTGCAGCACAAAAAGGAATTATCTAAAAGTCCAGGAAGAAATGTACGGTCGAAAGTTGCACAGGGTGCCAAAACGTTGAAAGGGGTGCAAAACGATGCGTTGAGTGATGCACATTGACTCAGAAACGTTGGGATCATCTTCAATGCCACTTGCATCGCTGCGATAGGACACTTGCAAACGATACTTGTAGGGCTCAGTGAGGTGCAAAAGTGTCATGCTCTTTGTCTCGCCTGGTTGCACCACCACTTCAGCAGGATTTCCCTTCGGGAAGCTCACATTTTCGCAGTTTACAAACTGTAGGGTGAATACCTGGCCGACTGCCCCAGATGTGTTCACGAAATTCACCTCTACAGTCTTCTTTCCATCTGCCACGGCTACATGTTCCTTCCACATGGGCGGATTTGTAGTGAGCCATTGAATGAACTCATGGGTATGGACCACGCCATCTCGATTCCCATCAGCCTGCTGAAACCAATCTTGAGCACGCCCCTCCGGAATACCAAGCACTCGAGACAAAAGAATCGTCATTTCATCTTCTGACATGACACCATCTCCTGGCGAGGCCTGTTGGCCATGGACCCATCGGACCTATCCATCCCACCACAGTGTGCAAAAAACACAAAAAAATGCCGCACACGTCACAAGTCGGCAACCATCCCTGCTATCGTACTGCCTTGAACTCCACCAGAATGCATCAATTATAAGTCAATGGCTGCGTCAATGAGTCATGTCATGTTTCAGAGGCTGTGTGATCAGAATCCCCAACCCTGCAAAATGAATTTATATGAATCTTATCGTGGGGCCGGAGCAATCCATAGGAACTAGTTGGATCTAGTTGGATCTAGTTGGATACACCCAGTCGCGTACCACCAGCTTTGAACATGGTCCACTTCCGTCTGCATCAACGGTCTCCTGAAGTGTCGTATTTTTCGAAGAGTTCTTGCAAGCGCTTCCGTGCCGCAGCCATGGCTCATCAGCCAGCTTTCCGCAAGTGCCTATTATTTCACTTGGTTCCACAGAGATGTTGCAAGTTTCAAGTGAAAATGCCTTCACCACATTTCCAATTGAATTCCACGCCGCCTCTTTTAACGCTAGCAAGCACGCTTTCACATCCAAGAATGCCTTGATGCATCTTGCAGCACGTGAAAGGATGCAGAAAAAGTTCTTTGCCTGCAGGGTACTATCAGTCACCCTGCAAGCTGCTACTGAACATCATCACGCCAACCAAATACAATCTAAAATTTCAATCTAGAATCTAGAAATGTCTAGAATCCAGAAATTACATGAAATTACCAAGAATTCCAATAATTTTTTGTTTGATCTGTCTGTGACCTTCCCGAGGCGGCTCGGTGATTTTGTGACCTGGCCTTGGGCTAATCACGAGTCATCACGAGTCAAACAGCTTCGCCAGCATCGACAGATTTGAGTCTGGCGGTAATCGTTCGCGCCAAGCCTCGCAAAACACATGCGAAAACTATCCTGCTACTGCAATGTCATATCAGAAGGGTTCGAAGGAACACAACTTCCAGGCAACAAGGAAACAACGCAAACAAAACAGCAAGACACATGCTTCCAAAGAATCATTGAGCAAAGTCCTTGCATGTCTGCCTCAACAATGTTATCCAAGCTTTTGCAAAACTACTGGTATGCTGGCCAGCACCGGCCTTTGGACAGTACTCCATAGCAAACTGCTCGCAAGAAGTTGATACACCATCTGAGCCAGGACCTCCGCTCCTGAGTCATGCTCGAGCCACGGTCAAATGTCGTCAGTATGTCACTTATAATCCCACACACACACAGATATATATATATATTATATTACACGTTCGGAAACATGCTGTCCAGAACCTGTCCAGCACTTTGATAATAAACATGATAATCATGATCATCATCATTGAACTAACACAACACCAATCAATCATATGAATCATATATAATCATATGATATCATATGTATGTTACTTCTTGTTCCGTTTCCATTAACTAGTGTTGTTGCGACGAGTTGGGAAGGTCTGTTTGTGAGCGGTGTTTGTGCCAACATGTGGATTGATGTGGCATGTATGTGGCGTCTTGGCTGCATCCTTCGATGCAAGTCGTGGAGGTGTTGTCTGCTTTTCGTAATGTTGCCACCGGTGTAAGAGAAAATAACTGCAGCTCAGGAGCTCTCTAAAACCCAAGCTCAACCTAAAGGCTGTAAGCTGGGGCTGCGCAAGGCGAATAACTTTGTGATGCGGTGATGCGTGTTTCTGCTGATGTTCGAACCCACAATACGTTTCAGCATTCAACACTGGAGCATGCTGGAATCCTCTTCGCATGTAAGGTCGGATTGCAGTTAGAGAAAGGCTGCTACACAGCCTCTTCACATCTCTTTGAGGTGCCCTTACAATACAAAGTTTGAATTTGAGATTCGGCACAAATAGTTCAAGAGCTTTCCAGAGCCTCAGGGATCATTTTCTGAGGGCAAAAGGACGTCAATTCTTGGGATTCTAATACTTGCAGTTAGAAAAGCTGCCATCTCAATGGGTCTTTGTTGAACAGCATTCCTGGGGCAAAAGCCATTGTCCATGACTGTGAGCTCCAGGATTTCTGTACCAAACCATCGTGCCATAGCCGCAGTGGAACCAAGCAAAGCAGCCTGCACGATTCTGCATTACATGTCAAGCTATGCAAAGAAGCGACGCATGATAATTCCAGCTGGCTTTGGTATTACTAAGTGGCGGACAAAATTACTTACTAGCCGCAATGGGCATGGCCAAAGTGGGTGGCCCCCTATCGGTTGTGAAGGTTTGTACTTCCATGCTATGTGTAAAAATATGTGAAAATAGGGTATCGGTAAGTGGGTGGCCCCCTATCGGTTGTGAATGTTTTCGCACAAGTTTGAACATCCCATGTCCACTCCCCACTACTTTAGTCTTCCGCTAATTTTGTCGGTTACTCGTATGGGCTTCGACAGGTTATAGCTTCTACTCGGTACTGACCCCATCCGTTTAGACGAAAACTCACCGAACCAAGCAGCTGCAATGGTGACCTTTCCTTAGACAAGTTGACAATGCACATTGATCTCTCAGAGCAAGCGCTGCAGCAATGGTAAACAGCTGGGTTGTGGAGGAAATCTGAATCGTCCGGCAATTGCCACTCTATGTATCTCTATGTGGCAAGAGTCTGTCACTGTCACTGCCAACGCTGCCATCCAGCAATCGGCCCCGAACAGAAGCATGTGCTGGCTTAGAGCCGCTGCTGCCAATCCAAATCCTTTGCGGGTTTGCAACAACATGCAACAACAATGATGTGCAAAACAGCCAGTCATGGAAACCTTGTGCTCCTCTGCTCCTCTGCTCCCCCTCCTCATCCTCATCCCCATCCCCATCATCATCTGTCTCAATCTTTGACACCAAGCTGCACTCGGACACTTCGCTGCTTCAATCGACACACCGCCCGGCAATATGCTAATTCACCTTGTGGCCGTCGAAGATGTGCAGAAATTGTCACCTGCGCACATTGCAGTGAAAAAACTCAGCAAATTGCGCAACCAACCCCAAAAAGTTGCTGAACATTTTTTGTTCAAGTCAAAGAGTTTCGAACGGCTTACTAAATGCAAACAGATTATGTAAATTCTTCTCGCACTACTGTCTTCCACCTTCGGGTTGGCGTCATCAGAAAGCCAAGAAGTCCGGATTTGCAGCTCGGCACACGGAGGCCAGTCTACTCTCCATTGCCACCTAAGACAGCACGCGCACAAATCCCAAATCATCTGAAAGCCTCCATGGATTATTGATTTATATATATATATATATATATTTATTTATATTGATTTTCTAAATATTCTCGAATATTCTTGATGCATCCCATTGCATCCCTGATCATCCATGTCTGAATTGTTGAAAGTTCAGACCACACAGATCAGGTATTGTATTGGTCACGCATTGATTGCTCCTTTGCCCCTGAGCAAGCGTTCAACGTCCACTAGCAAAGCGTAGCACCAAACAGCAGCATCGGCACATGTCTGGCGCTCCCATGAGGTTGACAATGGAGCTCAAGCTTGGTCTCTGCATGGAGCCTTGGGCGAGTCGCGTCGCCGCAGCGCAACTTTGGGATCATCACAACCAAATCCAACCAAATCCAACGAAATTCATCCAAATCCTACATCACCAATAGATCTGTGCAATGAAGAAGAAAAGTCAGAGACGGCGTTGCTACCCAACTTGTCAAGTATACTTGTGCTTCGAGCCTTCCATGATTGTATCTGTGCTTCTCAGTCTCCAGCTCACAAAGGATCCAACGGCATGCAGAGTCATTGTTAGTGAAGTATAGTGAAGTGATGTGAGGTGATATATACCAATTATATCCAATTATTACCTCTCCATGCGAATTACTTCACATCTCCGGCCGCATGATATGCTAATGTGAGCGTGTGCTAAGATGTTGGGATCTGCTGAAACACACGCACACACACACATTTCAACTCGGTTGGCTCAATCTGCGGCTGTGTTGCCCCACAACCACGACCAAACGTTGAAGTCCGCCAAGGGTAGCTTTGCGATCCAGCTCTGAGGGGCGAAGGCTGAAATGTGAGCAACCGGGGCTTCCATACCTCAAGCACGACAAATATCGACAAATGCATAACAAATGGACAGCCACATTGAACATTCGCATGCACCCTTGAAGTGCGGTAATTGGAAGACCCACTCAAGCCAACTGAAACAATCTGAAACAAATAGATTTCAGTATGGGGGTCCCGTTGCTCGTGATCCCGCGATGGCGACCTTCCCATCTCTCCCTGCAAGTGAAAGTTGCTGAGCTCGCCCAAAACTGGGCGATCAGTGGTGCCCCTGAAGCCCAAGTCCAGGTAGTACCTTGACGGGTCTACCAGCTCTCCGCGTGGTATAGGAAAGGAACCACAAATTAGACTAAGCCTTGGTCCGTGAATATGTTTGCCTACTTGCAGGCGCTTGCACCTGCTTCTGCAATTCTATGCAATACTAGAAGTAAGAATGCACACAAATGACGCGACCAAAAGAAAAAACTCTCGAACTGATCCCAAAAAAGGGCTTCAAATGGCTTCAGCAGATTGTGGCTCTCCACGGATGGACAAGCTACTGGATTAGTTTTTGTGAACCTTGATCTTCTGCACCAAGTTCCACTCTGGCCATACCAAAAGACTCCTGGCTGGATGGCTCACGTTTCAAAAATGCATTGGATGTGGGCTCCTGAAACAACATGTCAAAAATATTTAGACATACTAAGACCACGTCCACACCAGCATCATCAAAACAACAAAACACGACTGTCTGAAAATCCGAGTTCATGCAGCACCTTTGAACACTGAATGCGAGCCAAGCAGCTCCAATCGTTGCCAAAATACTAAGGAGGGCCTGTAAGCAGCTTTGTTTGACTCACTGGAACGAGCTACGGCGACGGCTTGTATCATCTTGTATCCCGCTATATCCATCTATATCCCGCTTAAAGATTTCCAAGCAGCCAACCAGGCTGCAACGCTCCAGGTCCGACCACGCCCTTTGTCCAACCCTTCTGCAGCTGTTCTCAAAGTATCTCAAAGTTGTTTTTTCAATCTGCCTGTGGAATCGTCCATGGCCGTTTGGCTCTTGAAGGCCGCGGGTGCTCCTCGTCCACAAGACGAACACTGGGGCATCAGTCCAGCATCAGTCTTGAGAATGTCGTGAGTCGTGAATACCGAATCTGAGTCACTGAGCAGTGAAGATCCACTCCATATCATGCCACAAACCACTATAGATCCCCAAAGGGCCAAAAAGAACCTCTTCGTGCAGAATGTGGATGTGTATGTATGTGTAATGGTTACATGTTTGCACACATGTTACAGCCTCTATCAAACGCCACTTGTCTTCAGGACACTCGCGACAGGACTTCGCCCGACAAATCCTCAGCTGACCAAGGGGTCAGCTTCACATGCCTTACATATGATTTTTTGAAAAAATTAGATATAACTGTGGCATACCGTGGATGACATTAAGCGATGCTGCTAGCGAATAGCTTAAAACAATTTAAAACGCGTTTGATGCAAGCGAGATGCCAGTGGACGTGGATGGCACTGCGAGTGTTCTTGGGACATACCTGCGATTCATCGTACGAACCCACGCTCCAGTGGTGTCCAGCTGGGCTCTGCTCAGGTTGAGACGCTTCCACGAGCTTCTGCCAGCTGAGTACCATCCGGTCCTTCTACCCACACCTGAGATGTCTCGTTGGCCGAATGAAAACACCTGAACAGTGCCTGCTTGCAACACAATCAAACACACTAAACGCAAATAAATGCAAATTGCGGGTGCACAAATGGTTCCCCAATGTTTCCCATGTCCTGTTCCATCCTCTTCCACAGTATCACTTCAGAAATGAACTTGTTCCAAGGCGCATGAATCGCACATCGCGGGATAGCATTGTGTCCAAAGGATTCTGCGACCCTGCGCTTCGAGAGTGGTACTAGTGACAACCCCAATGGTGCCCATTCCTGGGCGGCCCATGCTTCTGTGCAGTGGCGAGGCACTCAGCCTTTCCATGACAAGTTATGCCAACTTATGGGTTCCAGCTCGCAAAAACGCGCCTGATCTTCCCCCTTTTATATCCTTTTATCATCTTGCCATATCTTGCCTATTTCCTGTTTTCTCGGATATTTTTCTTGATGGTCCTCTTGGATCATTTGCTGCCTGATGGTATTCCATGGTATTCCTATACTCTCACCTTTCGGCTGTTCATACCACGGTCTTTGGCCGGCAGGTTGCAGTCTCACAAATACAAATTCTAGTGACAACCCCATGGCCATGGTGCGCGTCTGGATTTCGATATGGATATGCCAAAACGTTTCCCTGACCTGCCAACTAATTGCTCCACAAATAGTCACAAATCAGGTACCTGAAGGTCATTGGTAAATCATGGTAAATCTACATATTTACATCCGGCTCAAAGCCGAAAGGGCCTTGACTTTTGGGACCCAGCGGAGAGCTTCACATGCAACTTCAACTCCAGCACTGCGCCTCAGCAACAAGATCAACAAGGTCCACCAAATATGAAATTGACACACTGGCATCACTGGCACTCCTTCTAAAACTTGAAGGTGCTGGCAGGTTCCAACTGATACTTTCCAGGATGCGTCGCCATGATTTGTGATGTTGGAATGCGTGTGTTCGAAAGACTTGAGACTTCGTGTGCCAGTGCTCAATGGCTCTTCTGAAGCCAAACAATCTGCCCGGATCTGTCAAGCTGCTTCGCACGGAAACTTCCCATTTGAGAAGAGAATTGAAAGCCTGGGACAGGACAGGCCGTCAAGGCTTGCCAGAGGATCCTCATAGATTCTCAGAACATTGGCGGAATGAAATCACTCCTTGCCTCAGCTGGCTTAGTTGACTTCACAGGCTCACTGGCCACGGGCGCCACAGGTGCCACGGGCGCTACCTTCAGGCGGCTCCACAGCTTGGACGGCCTCACTCCATCTCAGTTCTCACATGTTCTCACAAATCACATTCACCTTGGCAAATGCATTTAGGCCTCGCTGAGTATGCTGAGTATCCCACCGTTCCTGGGCAACACAAGAAGCCCACGTTGCTTCGTCATTCCTGGCTGGCACATGGTGGCACGAGGGATGTCAATGACGGAGCAATTTCAGCATATATGTATATATATATAATTATATATAATATATCTCAAAACCCCAATTTCGAGTGTCCATTTAGATCCATTTAGTAACTTCTTTTCTGGGAAACAGTGCTTTGACAGAGCTTTGGCAGACATTCAAAAGCTGCCTCTGGGGCTGAGCATGTGACTCCCAAGCCCAGGCTTGCCGCGAGGGAAATTTCGCAGAGACTGCTGTGCTGTAGAGCTTTAAGGGCCTGAGGCAGTGGTCCGAAACTGGTTCACTCTGCGATGCAATCTTGACATTTGTTTTCCGGCTCCACAATTGGTGTTCCAATCAATGTGCAGGGTTTGACTGAACGGGAAGGCAAGTGAAATCATTGCTGCCTTATGTTGATCATGGCAGGCCGATGCTCCAACCAAGCACCAGCATGAGAGACTGAGAGTTATTAGTTTGCAGAGTCTTCACAAGTTAACTTTTCCTATTTCAGAACAGACGTGTTCAAATAGTTCATGCAATCACGTGTGAAGCGCACACACACATGTATATATATATATATAATTATAATATATATATATATATCTGATTATATATGCAGATCAGATTATCGAACATGATATGATATGACATCAACGTACAATCTAGCATCATGGGAAGCTGGATGCTCAATTTGGCCTGTGTCTGGCACTGTGTCTGGTGCAGTTATGTCAGCTTCTTATTCAGATTCAGAAATTGGCCCGTATCATGGGTGAATAAATGACTGGGACGTGTAATCGTGATCTTTGAGCATGAGAATGGCATACAAGATTAAATTAAGAGCAACTTTGAGCTCCGATTCTTGTGGCCTTGAAAGACATCACAGCTGCAATCCGCTGCATATGATACTGTGGTGGCCTCATCATGTTGCATCGTCCATGCCCAAACGCCAAAACAACGCTAGATTCGACCGCGGTCTGGCGGATAAGGGGGATGTTCTACCCGTGGTTGAATATTGAAAGATCACTTAAGATTGTGAAAGACCATGCAAGGATACCTATTTTTTAAAAACAACTTGGCAATGATATGCAAAGATACTGTAAATGTACGAAAAGAGCAAGTCACATCTGACAGCCTGCCCAATCTTTTTCATGTCAACAATGCCACCAGTTTCTGTACAGCGGAATGAGCCTACCACCATAGATACACACCGAAATCCAACATGAACAAATCTCGTCTTCCTTCTTGTTGCTGTCATGCTGTTTCTATGGAGGCTGGCGAGGCAGTTGCACATGGCTGTGCACACGCACGAAGTTCAGCTTCGCACGTCAGAGGCTCAACAGGTTTCACCCAGAAGATTTCGCATCACGCTGAAACCATGC